TCCAGCCCAGGAAGTTGTTTATAATGTTACAGGAGGAGGCTCACACTAAAATAGCCTGAATTTGGCAAACTGTCTCCGTTTCGGGAAAAAGAACATTGTGCTTTTCTTTCTCGATGTGGCCCTACTTAGCTACCAATATCTATCATGAATTTTTTTTCATGGAAATATTTTGGGCCAATTGTTTGTGGACCACTCAGCACACCCCTCTTCCTCGTGACACGGGGATTGAAAACAAAACGCTCCAACCCTTTTAAAAAAAATCTATTCTATTCTATTCTATTTTCTATTCTATTCCATTCCATATTTCCTATTCTATTCTATTTTCTATTCTATTCCATTCCATATTTCCTATTCTATTCTATTCTATTCCATATTTCCTATTCTATTTTATTCTATTCTATTCTATTTTCTATTCTATTCTATTCCATATTTCCTATTCTATTCTATTCTATTCTATTTTCTATTCCATTCCATATTTCCTATTCTATTCTATTCTATTCTATTCCATATTTCCTATATTCTATTCTATTCTATTTTCTATTCTATTCCATATTTCCTATTCTATTCTATTTTCTATTCTATTCTATTCTATTCTATTCTATTCCATTCCATATTTCCTATTCTATTCTATTCTATTCTATTCTATTCTATTCTATTCTATTCTATTCTATTCTATTCCATATTTCCTATTTTATTCCATAATTCCTATTCTATTCTATTCTATTTTCTATTCTTTTCCATTCCATATTTCCTATTCTATTCTATTCTATTCTATTCTATTCTATTCTATTCTATTCTATTCTATTCTATTCTATTCTATTCTATTCTATTTTCTATTCCATTCCATATTTCCTATTCTATTCTATTCTGTTCTATTCTTCTATTCTATTCTATTTTCTATTCTATTCTATTCTATTCTATTCTTAGTTATTCTGTTCTATTCTATTTTCTATTCTATTTTCTATTCTATTCTAGTTATTCTGTTCTATTCTTCTATTCTATTCTATTTTCTATTCTAATTTCTATTCTATTTTCTATTCTATTTTCTATTCTGTTCTATTCTATTTTCTATTCTATTCAATTCTATTCTATTCTATTTTCTATTCCATTCCATATTTCCTATTCTATTTTATGTTATTTTATTTTCTATTCTATTCCATTCCATATTTCCTATTCTATTCTATTCTGTTCTGTTCTATTCTATTCTATTCTATTCTATTCTATTCTATTCTATTCTACTCTACTCTACTCTACTCTACTCTACTCTATTGCATAGCATGTGAAATTCATTGTGGGGGGAGGAAAGCAGCAACAAAGGAGTTGCTAGGAACATAGTCCCCCTAATCTCCTTTCCTGCCTTGGGCATCGTCAACTCTTTGACAGTTACAGTTTGGGGAGGCTGTGGTTTGAAACAAGCCAGCTCCAGAGATTGGGTGAGATCCTTTGCTTGCACAGTGGGAATATATGCGCCAATCCCTACTGGTCTCTCAGCTAAGGGGGCTCTGCCCTGTTTGCTTTAAGACACAGGAAGCTTACATCTGGTCAGCAGCCAATCAGCTTTAGCAGTCGCAGCAAGCCACTCTGCTCTCCAAGAGGGTGGGGGGGGGATCTTGGCCTTTGCAGGAAACTTTTGTGTGTAGAAAGCATGCAGCATGTCTGTTTTGGAGGGAGGCAATCACGGCAGGGCTTTCTGTTGTGAGCTTTGTGGCTTTGCATGCAAAAATCATTCAGGATAAGAAGCATTCGCACCCATGGAACTGAGAAGCTGGTTGTGCTAGCGGCAAACGATGCGTGCTCAGCTAATGTGTGCTGTTCCACCATTTGCCAAAATGAAAGAATTTGGGTTAATGATAGCTGGCTCTGCTAAGGAAATTCTGGGCAGGGGAAACCGCATGCAAGCTTCTTGCCGGCCAGTTGGACATTGGCAATGACACTGACAAGAAACAGAAGCATCCCAAGAAAGGGAGGGGGGTCAACCTCTTCTCCGAAACACCTGAAGGCAGGACAAGAAGCAAAGGATGGAAACTAAGCAAGGAGAGAAGCAACCTGGAACTAAAGAGAAATTTCCTGACAGTGAGAACAATTAACCAGGGGAACAGCTTTGTCTCCAGAAGTTGCGGGTGCTCCATCACTGGAAGTTTTTAAGAAGAGATTGGACAACCCTTTGTCTGAAAGGGTATATGGGGTTTCCTGCCTGACCTCCAAGGTCCCTTCCAACTCTGTTGTGGCTGTTGTTAGTGGTGAAAGACAAATCTTCATCAGGGTCCAGTCCAAGCTGGGAATAATCAAAATGGAGACTGCTTTAGAAAGAAGGTTGTGGTTTATTGAAGAAGACAGCCAGACAGAAAGATGGCTCTGGAAAAACCGACCAGGGAGTGGTGGGTTTTTATACCTTCTTGGGCTTTTGTTTGGAGTTGTTTCTATGGCATGAACTTTGACCTGAGTCTGAGTGTGTCTTTCTGGTATTCTGATGGTGGTGGGTTAATCCTACTATGTCCCAAAGGTCATATCCTGCTTCCCTGGGGCCGTGGCTGATGACTGTTGGATTTTTTTGTTGTGAGGGATTGTTGATTCTAGGGATCTTTCATTCTAATCCCAGCTTCCTGGCTCCAATCTTTCTGACAAGATTATCACATCTGCATTTCTGGAGACCTGGTTTCTGTTCGGGGCAGAGAGACTGGGGAGGGCGTTGGTTTCTGCCTTTAAAATCCTTTGGGGAAATATATTCTGCCTTTGGGGAAATACATCCTGCCTTTTTAATATTTCCCAAAATATTTATTTGTCTGGATTCTTCCCACAGCTCTTTTCCTGAAGCTGTGGTTCTCCCTCGGTGCATAAACATTTTAGCAGATGTTAGCCTCTGCTTTTATAGTGAAATGTTTCACTGTTTGTGTCAATAATTGGTTTCTATTGCCTTTAGACCACTGATCACAAGCACAGACTGCAGATATCAAGATGACAATTTCATCTCTATTAGCAAGAGGAGCTTTAAAAAAAAAAAAAAAAAAGATGAGCCAGAGATCAGTTTTGTATTTAAAAGGGAAATTCAAAGTTATAGTCAAGACTGGAAATTTGGAGCGGGGGGGGGGGGAATCTTAGAAGAAAACAATGATAAACAGCTTCAATTCTGCAGAAAACAAAATTACGTGGACAGGCCTGTGAAGTTACAAAACAGTGAGCTTGAAGGAAGGAAGATTTTACTGGATTTATCAGATTGTGAGATTCCCTCTTTATGCAGAGGAACGATAAAGTTAACAAGGAACACATGTAATATTTTATCATGCACAGGAACATGCTGTGCTTCCAGATGTTGCTGGAGTGCAATCTCTAGCAGACCTCGCCAGCATATCCACTGCTGTAAACAATAGTTGTCCAGTGTCCAAAAGATCACAGTTTCTCCATCGCAAGTTTATTCTAACACAAAAGAACCGAAAGCAGCCGATTTTATTAATAACGGTTTGTTCAATATAAGTTTCCCACTTCTAGTTCAGGATGCTCCGTGAAAACAGGCTGTTATTGCGTGGTTTACAGCTCAGCGTCATTCAAGCGCAGAAAATCTGGTTAGTTCCATTTAAAACCACATTTAAACCGTGAATAAAGGAACACGACCAAGACAGCCATTATTTTGCCCTTTCAGACAAGCACCGCCTTTGAAAACATTTAAGGGGGTGGGAGGAAGGAAAGAATCCTATTATAGAGGAAGGAGGAAACAATTTGTTTCAAATTTGGATCAATTTCTTTTACTTCCACAAGGCAAAACACCACGTAACAAAATTTCCTGTTTACTGTAACATTTAAGCAGAATCCCTAGAAAGCAAAACAAAGCAAACAAGTCCTAGATTTTTTTTTCTTCAAAAAAAAAAAAAAAACAACCTGAGGAAATAAAATAACAATTTCAGTATTTGCAAAATACTGCTGCCTGGCAAAATTGTAACGTGGGGAAGATGCAAATTAAAAACAAAAAAGGGGGGCTTGAATTTTAGGTGATCTATTGCAAGAGGGGCAATCCCCATCATCCTCTCCCCCTCCCCAAAGCTGGCTAATAGGACCTGTAGTCCAAACTCTGTCTCATATTTTCTTTCCCTTTTTTTCTTCCCTTAATTTCCTATTTTTTTTTAAATTTTTCTTTGTATTTTATTCTATTGATCAAATAAAAGTTATAAAATCTATCCTATACTGTGCAGGTGACGGTAATTTTATTTTTTAAATTCTTTATTACATTTATTAAATACATTTATTATTTTTATTAATATTTATTATATTTTCAGATTTTTTAAAAAACAATGACGATTTTGAGCGGGGAGGGGAGAGGGGTTTGCCTGCTTAATGGGAGAAAAGCTGCAGCAGCCTCTGTTGCAAGAAGGGACAATCTCTGTCGGCTTGCCAGCCCCGGAGGCGGCAGATGGGGCTTGTAGTCCAAAGCATCCCCCTATAGATACAGTCTAAGTCTCCCTGGGATCTCTCGTCGTCCTCTCAGACGATGGGGGTAGTTTTAAAAAATGGGTCTTTGGAGCGGAGGGAGGAAGAGAGAGACAGCCTCCAGCCGAAGAAAAGCTATGCAAAAGGGGCGATCCCTGGCTGGCGGATGGGATTTGTAGTCCAAAGGGTCCCCAGGTCGGGCGAAGGGTCGCCCAGTGGGACGGAGCCTGGAGGAGAACGGCATCACAGGCACACAGTCACACACACAAAAAAAACAGCGTCCAAATCGCCGTCATCTGTGCCAAAAACAAAAAAACAGCGTACGAGCATCCTCACCTGTGCGACCGCGGCCCACCTGGCCAGGATGGGCCGCCGGCTTCCCGCCGTCTCCATGGCAACCGCTCCGGGAACATGGGGTAGCCGCACGTCCCTGCGTGCGTGCGTGCGTGCGTACCTGCCTGCGAGCTGCTTGCCTTTCCCGCCCAGCGCTCTGCGACCGCCTCCCGCTCTGTCTCTGCCTCACCGCGCTCCGTGATTGGTCGCCCTGAAAGGCCGTCTCTCTCTGATTGGCTGGGCGGCCTCTCTTCGCCTCCTCCTTCCGCGACCTTTAAAAAGCCGTCGGGCTGCTCAGGCTGAGGGAGAGAAGTGAGTGTGTTTTTCTGTGTTGTTCGTGGGAAGAGTTGACGCGGGTCGCGCGGGAGAGCAAATAAACCAGGGGGTCTTCAAACTTGGCCCTTTTATGACTTGTGGGCTTCAACTCCCAGAATTCCTCAGCCAGCCTCCATTTTGTTTGCTAGAATTAAGACAGGGGTCTTCAAACTCGGCCCTTTTATGACTTGTGGACTTCAACTCCCAGAACTCCTCAGCCAGGCATGCCTGGCTGAGGAATTCTGGGAGTTGAAGTCTACAAGTCGTAAAAGGGCCAAGTTTGAAGACCCCTGAAATAAAGTGACTTAGGACCGTTTTTCACACTTATAACCGTTGCAGCATGTGATCAAAATTGGGACCCTTGACAACTGACTTGTATTTATGATGGTTGCAGTGTCCCAGGGGTCACCCGATCCCCTTTTGAGACCTTCTGACGAGCAGGGGGTTGGACTAGATGACCTCCAAGGTCCCTTCCAACATTATTATTATTATTATTATTATTATTATTATTATTATTATTATTATTATTATTATTATTATTATTTCTATTATTATGGATCATCGCACAGTCAGCCACATGTTCAGACTGGATTTGGCATTTTGTCTACCTATCGAGTCCTTACCCAGGACCTGGGATAGGCAGATGTGGATGTTTGATGGTATTACAGGTATCGTCGCAGGATGGAAGCAGTTCCTAGTAAGACCGCCTTTTGCAATTGACTGATGGTGAATTTGTCAATGCCAATGATGGTGTTCAAGTGGTGCTCCAGTTGTTTTGGGATTGCACCCAAGACGCCTATTACTATTGGTACTATTGGTATTATTATTTATTTATTTATTTATTTATTTCCACATCTCTGCTCTGCATCAGCCTGATTCACTTAACAACTGACTCATATTTATGACAGTTGCAATGTCCTGGAGTCATATGATCACCTTTTGCGACCTGACAAGCAAAGTTAATGGGGGGGGGGGAACCAGATTCACTTTATAACTAATTTAACAACTGCAATAATTCACTGGACAACTGTGGCAAGAAAGGTTGCAAAATGGAGCAAAATTCACTTAACAAATGCTTTCCTTAGCAGCATAAATGTTGGGCTGCCTGTGTGCCTTCCCTGCATTACTTCGGATCTGGGAGTTGATATAAAGTCAACTCTTGATGCTTGTAATTTTACCCAAGGCTCAAGCTCTTAGTAAAATAGTAGTGGAGCCTGAGATAATCTCAGCCATGTCATGTTCAAAGGACTAAAGCAGCACAAGTGAATCAGAATTAAAATCAGCGGTAAAGGTAAAAATGGCCTCAGGAGCTGACTTTGCTCTCAGTAATAAAGTCAGCTCTTGGGACTGAGGTAATTTTAGCCAAGGCTCAATGTCTTAAAAGAAGCAAAACCTGTGGAGGAGTAGAGTAGAGTAGAGTAGAGTAGAAATTAGAAGAGAATAAGAAGAGAAGAGAATGAGAATAGAATAGAATAGAGTAGAATAGATATTGGAGAATAGAATAGAACAGAACAGAACAGAGCAGAATAGAATAGAATAGAATAGAATAGAATAGATATTGGAGAATAGAATAGAATAGAATAGAATAGAATAGAATAGAATAGAATAGATATTGGAGAATAGAATAGAATAGAATAGATATTGGAATATAGAATAGAATAGATATTGGAATATAGAATAGAATAGATATTGCAATATAGAATAGAATAGAAATTAGAATAGAATAGAATAGAAATTAGAATGGAATAGAATAATGGAATGAGAATAGAATAGAATAGAAATTAGAATAGAATAGAATAATAGAATTAGAATAGAATAGAATAGAATAGAATAGAATAGAATAGAATCATGATGGAATAGAATCATGATAGAATAAAATCATGATAGAATAGAATCATAAGATAATAGAATAAAATAAAGAATAGAACAGAACAGAATAGAATCATGATAGAATAGAATAGAATTGATAATAGAATAGAATAGAATCATGATAATAGAATAGAATCATGATGTCATGGTTCCAACTAATGAAACACTTCAAAGAACTTCCAGGCATGTTTATCCTAAAGCCTTTATTAACAGTGTTACAAATTGACAGCACATCATGGAGGTTTGTGCCAGAATCTGTATTTCCTCTCCCTTTGTCATCTGAATTAACTCTAAAAATACCAGACAGTTCTGCATATTTTGTCAAAGCAAGAATATTCAATATTAGCAGCGTTGACACATGATAGAACAGAATAGAATTATGATGAATAGAATAGAATCATGATAGAACAGAATCATGATAATAGAATAGAATCATCATAGAATAGAATTGAATAATAACTTTATTGTCACTTTAAATATACATTAATACATTAAGATGAGATTTCGTTGCATACAGTTCTCAAAGGGTAACCACCTCCAATATACACTGCATAGACATGACCAAAATAACAACAACAATAATACATATACCCACATACACACAGATATATGAACCAGAGAAACAACACGGTCTAGTTCAGATATATACATATACATGGCAAGAAAAAACGAATCTAGCTACTTCAAGTAACTAAAGGTGAAAGTTAAAATTATGTCAGGAGCGGACCTTACTTTCTTGCAATAAAGTGTAAACTCTTGGGGCCTGAGGCAATTTTAGGGATGACTTCCTGTTTCTAGAAAATAAGAAACTCCTGGGGCTAGAAGCTTTATCTAAGTTTAGAACATTACAAATCTGTGGCTCGAAGTAATCTTAGCCCCCTCCTGGTTCAAGGACTCAACCTTTCAGTTCATTCCTTCTATCTTGCTTTCTTTCACTCACAGGATAAAACATATAAAAGCCAAGCCCCTGTGTCAAATTACCTAATTGGTTTTCTGATCTGTAAACATCTGTTGGTCATTTGGTAACATGGATGTTTTTTTTTTTTTTTTATTCTCAAAGGCATGTACGATACCATCTTAGGCAATGTGGATGTCAAAAATGGAAGGGCGTGGAAAACAAGGAATATTAACTTAGCCAAGAGTGCCTATTTAACCACATGAATCAAAACTGACTTGTAGAAGATGCCATCAAACCGTAAGTCAGTTTCATTAACTATCCAGTATATCAGGAAGGTTGCACCCACATTTAGCAAGGAAGACTGGCAGGTGCTCTTTGCAACACGTAGGTTAGTTTACTGCAAAAACCTGTGGGCCTTGCTAAAGCTGACCCTAACGCTTACTTTAAAAAAAAAGTTTTAAAAACAACAATGCAATTATGATAACAAAAGTAGTCACAAATGTGACAAATATTTCTATATAGTATAAAAGAATTTCTGGCCCGGGATAATTTTAGTGATGGTAATGATTCTTAGAACCAAAGGTCTGTGGAGATTCTCAGTCATCCAGGTTGTCCCAAAGATGCTTTTTCAGGAGGCAACTGGACTGCCTTTGTTTTTCTTTGAAGATGTTTCGCTTCTCATCCCAGAAGCTTCTTCAGCTCTGCCTGGATGGTGGGGAACGGAAGGATTTATACTCCTAGCAGACAGCCGGTCATTTGCCTTCTTTTACAGAGTCGTTGAGGCCAATTGGAGGTTTATCTGTGTCCTCAGGGTCACCTGAGTGGTGCCAATGGGTGTGGAGCCTTCCTGGAACTGCTGAAAGGACTGTGTTGTAGGACTGCTGAACAACTGCTGACAACACAGTCCTTTCAGCAGTTCCAAGAAGGCTCCACACCCACTAGCACCACTCAAGTGACCTTGAGAACATAGATAAACCTGTGGGGGTTGTGGACATTTAGAACCAAACAGAAAAATGCAACGGCCCTTTTAATGTAGGTGTTGCCCGGTGGGTGTTAAAAGATTTTGTAGGTTTCTTGCCTGGCATAATCTTAGCCATGGCTGTGGTTTTTAGAACCAGAAAGGTCCCCCAAAAGATTCCACATACCCCCACAGCATGAAGACGATGGTGATGCCCCTACTTCTAGAGGTCTTTCGGTCCCTGAGCTTCCCCCGTGTGATGCTCACACTGAATGAGCCTCGGGAGGAGATCAGCTGACTTCTCATTCAGTCCTGAACTGACACTCTGTGAGACTCACCCTGGATGCAGTGGGTGCCTCTTTCAGTCCCTGACCTGGCATAGAGGGAGAATCACATTGGGGGCGTCAACAGGGTTCAACTGGCAGCCTTGTCCAGTCCCTAAGGAGACTCAACCTGGAAGAGATTCCTTTAGCTCCACGTGCCTCCCAACCTCACACCTTTAGAAATAATGTCTGTGGTGACCATTGTCTTAGAACCAGTCAACCTGGTAGCCCACCTTAATACTAAGTATGGCTGTCAATGTGTATATATTAATAGAAAAATCTCAGACCCTTTTTAATGCTAGGTGTGGCCAATGGTTGATAAAAGATTATACCCTTTTCTGGCGTGGTGTAATTTTAGCCATGGCGATGGTTCTTGGAAACCGAAAGACAAACTCAAACAGATTTGGATGAGGGGATAGGTGGGGAAATCATCCAATTTGCAGACGACACCAAGCTGGCAGGAATAGCCAACACTCCAGAAGACAGGCTTAGGATACAGAAGGATCTGGACAGACTTGAACACTGGGCGCTATCTAACAAAATGAAATTCAATGGTGAAAAAAGCAAGATTCTACATTTAGACAAGAAACACCAAATATACAGGTATAGTACAGGGGGTACCTTGCTCAATAGTAGTAACTGTGAGAGGGACTTCGGAGTCCTAGTGGACAATCACTTAAATATGAGCCAGCCGTGTGCTGCAGCTGCCAAAAAGGCCAACACAGTGGTAGGCTGCATGAACAGAGGGATAGAATCAAGATCACGTGGAGTGTATTAATACCACTTTACAAGGCTTTGGTAAGACCACACTTGGAATACTGCGTCCAGTTTTGGTCACCACGATGTAAAAAAGATGTTGAGACTCTAGAAGGACTACAGAAAAGAGCAACAAAGATGATTAGGGGACTGGAGACCAAAGCATAAAAGGAAAGGCTGCTGGAATTGGGTATGTCTAGTTTAATGAAGAGAAGGACGAGGGGGGACATGATAGCAGTATTCCAATATCTCAGGGGCTGCCACAAAGAAGAGGGAGTCAAGCTATTCTCCAAAGTGCCTGAAGGGAGGACAAGAAGCAACGGATGGAAACTAACCAAGGAGAGAAGCAATCTAGAACTAAGGAGAAACTTCCTGACAGTTAGAACAATTAACCAGTGGAACAACCTGCCTCCAGAAGTGGTGAATGCTCCAACACTGGAAGAAGAGACTGGACAGCCATTTGCCTGAAATGGTATAGGGTTTCCTGCCTGAGCAGGGGGTTGGACTAGATGACTTCCAAGGTCCCTTCCAACTTTGTTGTTGTTGTTGTTGTTGTTGTTATTATTATTGTTATTATTATTATTAACCTTGGTGTAGCCAGGGTTTGATAAAAAGTTTTGTAGTTTTCTTGCCTGGCATAATTCTGAATCATTTTGACATCCTTGTGGCCCATTACAGGTGCCTAGGGAGTGGGCCAATAGCTGTGCTAGAGAATGCAGCCAATCAGCACTCCCTATTTTTCCCAAGCTGGCCAATTGTTAAGTGCCTGGGTGATTTAGCAAGCATTAAGGCCTATCTGGTTTAGCAAGTATTCTGTAGGTGGCGGGGCAGAGCCACCAGCAAACTAAATCCAGTTTGTCTTGAAATCTGTTGAGCCTTATCTAATCCAAAGAAGGTGCTATGAGTTGAGAAGATTCTTAAGCATAGGCTTTTAGCAATAAATCAGTGTAATTGGACCTTCTCATGTGGACCTGGTCTTTCACAGCTGACACATCCCTTCACGTCCCACCACTACAACAAGACTTTATTATGTAAAGCTGACTTAATTTCAAACTCTGTGTCTCACTTACTTTGGCCCTGTCATGCAAAGGGATTCCCTGGAGAAAGCAATTATGTTTGGAAGAGATATCAAAAAAAGATGATGGCTGGACACTATCAAAACTGACCCCAGCCAGAGCATACCCAACTGGAAAAAAATAGTGCGGGATCAGATGATGTGGAGAGGCCTGGCCTGTAGAGTCGCCCAAAGTCGAACTTGACTGAAGGGATAAATCCTCATCATCAATTTCAATGACCTGCTCTGAACACTTGTAACTTGGGAAAAGAATTGTAGCCATGGATTTAAATGCAGTGATTTCCCAGGTTTTGATAAACCTTGTGTCATGGTTCCGACGGATGAAACTCTTCAAAGAACTTTGAGGCATTGTTTACCTTAAAGAATCTTTATTCGAGTGGCACGTACATAGGCAAAGCCAAAATCTGAATTCCCCTCCCCTGAGCACATAGTTGTTGTTGTTGTTGTTATTAATTGCGAAGTCGTGTCCGACCCATCGCGACCCCATGGACAACATTCCTCCAGGTCTTCCTGTCCTCTACCATCTTCTGGAGTCCATTTAAGTTCACACCTACTGCTTCAGTGACTCCATCCAGCCCTCTCATTCTCTGTCGTCCCCTTCTTCTATTGCCCTCACTCTTTCCCAGCATTAGGCCCTTCTCCAGTGAGTCCTTCCTTCTCATTAGGTGGCCAAAGTATTTGAGTTTCAACTTCATGATCTGGCCTTCTAAAGAGCAGTCGGGGTTGATCTCTTCTAGGACTGACCGGTTTGAACGCCTTGCAGTCCAAGGGACTCGCAGGAGTCTTCTCCAGCACCAGAGTTCAAAGGCCTCAATTCTTTGGCGCTCAGCCTTTCTTATGGTCCAACTTTCACAGCCATACATTGCAACTGGGAAAACCATGGCCTGGACTATACGCACTTTTGTTGGCAGGGTGATGTCTCTGCTTTTTAGGATGCTGTCTAGATTTGCCATAGCTTTCCTCCCCAGGAGCAAGCGTCTTTTAATTTCTTGGCTGCAGTCCCCATCTGAGGTGATCTTGGAGCCCAGAAAAATAAAATCTGTCATTACCTCCATTTCTTCCCCATCTATTTGCCAGGAATTGAGAGGGCCAGATGCCATGATTTTGGTTTTCTTAATGTTGAGTGTCAAGCCAACTTTTGCACTCTCCTTCTTCACCCGCATCAAGAGGCTCTTTAGTTCCTCTTCACTTTCTGCCATCAGAGTGGTATCATCTGCATATCTTAGGTTGTTGATATTTCTCCCGGCACAAAGTATCAAAGCATAATTCCCTCCTCTAATTCACAGTCATAAATCACGTTCTCCAATTAGTTTGAAATGCAGGCTTCCCCTCCAGTTCTCCAACCCGCCATTTCTTATCCTCCCTTATTTCAAAAAGCCTTGGTTCTCACCTTTGTTACAATATTGTTATGTCTAGCTAAACTCCCATGCACGTTCCTCCTCCTCCTCCCTCCAGTACCACCTAATTCCAACTCTAATTCTAAGATTAAAACATAAGAAGGAAAATGGCTGCCTCTCCATACGTTGTCAAAGCAAGAACATCCGACATTAGCAGCGTTGACACCTTGCTTATCTACGGTTTATAGAAACGGTGGCCAGTCAAGCGTCTGCTGGGAAGTAGCAGGTGAGTTTAGCAATTCAACTCTAAATAAAACAGGAGAAATAATTTCCTGGCCTATTTTGTTTTGATTGAAGGCAGGACAAGAAGCAACGGGTGGAAACTAATCAAGGAGAGAAGCAACCTAGAACTAAGGAGAAACTTCCTGACAGTGAGAACAATTAATCAGTGGAACAGCTTGCCTCCAGAAGCAGTAAATGCTCCAACACTGGAAGTTTTTAAGAAGAGACTGGACCGCCATTTGTCCGAAATGGTGTAGGGTTTCCTGCCCGAGCAGGGGGTTGGACTAGATGACCTCCAAGGTCCCTTCCAACTTTACTACTATTACTATTGTAAACTTATTGAAAAAAGAAAAAGGACTCTGGCTCTCGAGGTTTTCCTCTTTTGCTCTTTTCGCGAATTACTTTAATATTTTGAACTTCAGTTACGTTGGGAAATGCCGAGCCAGGCAGGCAGAAGTGCTCAGGCAAAGAATTGGCCTTGAATTATTGCACAGCCGCAAAAGGTCCAGGATTCCACTCCCCCAAAGGTCTATAGCAGTGGTTCTCAACCTTTTTAACGCTGCGAC